CAGAATAGTTTATTTGTCACAATTTTGCTTTTTTCAGTGATGTTTATGTTGGTTTGTGAGCACGAGTGGTTTCCACCTCGTGGATTTACTCCTTCCCTCACTGTACGCATCGAAAGAGGAGCAACAAGTGCTAATGTGTTTCTTTCCCTGTTTTTCAAATCTGTGCTTTGTCGCTTTTCATCTCAGTCCTGCCTCATCTCTCCACATGAAGTCCTGACGCTCCCCTCTGGAGAGGCTGTTCTCCACAGGGTTGTGCCTGTAGCCGGGTCTGCCGTCTGGGCAGAGGGAGAGGCTGAGACGGGCTGTGCTGTTGCTGATCTTGAAGAGGCCATTGGGGCCGAGGAAGGCGTCTCTTTCGCTTCCACCCAGGTTGTTGACTGTCTCCAAGTCATTATAAACTGCAGTGTCTCTTAGCTGCTTCCTTCCCTGCATTCTCCTCCTCCTCCTCAAGTAGAGGATCCCCGCAACCAGGACTAGTACCAGAATAGCCAGAGCGCAGGAGAGGGTGAGGGTAGTAGATGAGGGTTGGGAGGTTTGGCGCAAAGCTGGCTTGAAACTGGGCTGAAGCGTGAACTCACAACTGGGACCCATAAAGCCCTTGGGGCACTGGCACACGGGCCCAGTGAAGTGGGTGAAACAAGTGCCACCGTTCTGACAGGGATGGGCGCCACAGGCGTCTGAGCGCACGCTGCAGTTCTTGCCAGTGTATCCCAGAGTACAGGAGCAGGTGTAGTCATTTACACCATCTTGGCAGGTTCCAGCATTCTGGCAGGGACTTGAGGCGCAGTCGTCAATGTTAACCTGGCAGTTGGCACCCGTGAAGCCTGCCTGACAACGACACAAGATGCTCTGGCCGAGATCCAGACACTCGCCGCCTGCAGGAGAGAGAAACACTCTGTTCAGCATCCATTAAATCAGAAGGTGGCCAGTCGTTTAAAGAAGGAGTGTTAATTGGATTACGTTTGCTACAAGGGCATTCATGCAGAAGTGCTGAGAGTCACACTTCACCACTGAAGAAGAGCCAAGGTCGGTTGATTTGTACTTCAGCCACAAGATGTCGCCGTACACTCACCGTTTAGACAGGGCCTGTTGCTGCAGCGGTCCAGCTTCTTCTCACAGTTGGAGCCAGTGTAGCTGGGAGGGCAGCGGCAGGTGTAGCCTCCGGTCATTGTCTCCACACAGGTGCCGCCATTGAAGCAGGGACCGTCTGCACAAGTCATGGCAATGATCTCACAGTTCTTCCCATAGAATCCCTGAGGACAGGTGCAGGAGTAGTCGTTCTCCAGGTCCTGTGGAAGGAAAGAAAACCTTCAGCTCAAGGAGCAAAGATCTAGAAAATAGGACGTAAGCAGCCGATCTATTTCGCTGCCAAGAACTATTCTGTATGCATTGTGTCAAATCTTCTGTAGACCAGTAGAGAGCAATCATCTAGTTCTACTCCCTCAAGTGCAATGTTGACTTTTCTTTTATTTATTTATTTCTTTTTTGTTTGTTAGCACAATTTATAATCCATCCATTCACTTTCTTCTTTATTTTGCAGTACATTGCTGCACATGGCCTATCCTATCTCCTGCTGTTGTAAAACCTAAACTTGCCTGCATGGGATCAGTTTTTCTTATCTTTCTTATGCTCTTATTACATCTTTATAATAAGCAAACAAACTGATTGTTGACTCACATTGCAGCTGCCTCCGTTCTTGCAGGGGTTGCTGTCACACTCGTTGGTCTCCAGCTCGCAGTTGGTACCTCCAAAGCCGGGCCGGCAGTTGCAGGTGTAGCTGCCCTGGCCTGTGTTGGTGCAGGTGGCACCATTGGCGCATGGCTTGTGGTTAGTACAATAGTTCAGGTCCTGGTCGCAGAAGAGGCCCCCCCAACCCTCCTGACAGTTACACTGCCACGGCTGGCTGCATGTCCCATGGAGGCAGCCTGGGTAGCGGACGCATTCATTGCAGGAAGGGCCCTGCCAGCCCATGCGGCACGTACAGCCCCCTGGGGCCTCGCAGTAGCCATGCTTCTCGCTGCATTCCGCCGAGCAGATGGCTGGGGAGGAGAGGGAGGGGAGGGTGTGTGATTACAATGGGCGCCCCTTCTCATACATCTCACACACGAACACATACAGGGCCCCACGTCTGACCCCAGCCCTGTTCCAGACTTCACTATTGGTTAAGCATTAAGCCAAGCAGCTGGTAGGCACACTGCCGGAGAAAATGCTTTCTTTTATCTCTTCCCGATTACACACACACACGCACACACACACACGTAGCCTGATCACCTTGAAAAATGTGTATGTCTAACAATGGTCCCAGCTCTTTGTCACATTGTAACACAACAAAAGGTAGATGGAATACCAAACCCCGCCTTATAAAAAAACTCTACAGGATATCTGCTGATGAGCATCTGTGTAATGTTTTTATAAATCTTGCTCATCATATTTTTTATACATATCTATCTATCTATCTATCTATCTATCT